CGGAAAAGAAGGTACACCTTGTTTGTATAAGTAGTATATATCAAATCTTTTAAACTTTCCTAGTCTGGATATTATAGTTTATGTTCTTTGATCTGTAAGTATCTTCTTGATGATGAGGTGCTAAGAGATAGTCGAAATCACCTGTCTTAGTACTCTAAGTCGGCATCTTTCATTCTCATAGAACTTGTCATTGGATACTCCCTGTCCGCATGAGCTAGAACTGTGAACGGCCCAAATCAAAGTTTTTAGATGGTATTCAAGAGCACAATTGTACAACTAGAGCTTTGGCTTATATAGTTCAGAGAAGCTACTCTTAGACGTGAATATTGTTGAAAATTGACAACAGATTACGCTTTTTTCGGAGGCTAGGCCTGGTGGGGCTGTGGAAACAGGAACTTGAGCAGTAAGCCTATGGAGTTTGATAGACGGCCTCCGCAGTGTTTCTCAAATTCTGTTGTGTATAGCAGCCATTAAGTTCTGATTTTTTAGTTCTCTCTTCCCTGTGCTTGTCTGATGAAACTGATTATACTAGAATTTCTAAATAAGAAGGAATTACGTGAATTAGATATTGGTGAAAATAACATCCCTGAACATATTCAGTTCTGTTGGCTATCCCTTGTGATGTATTTACACCTCCAGTCAAGCTTGCTTTCAATGTTGCTGAGATGGATAATCCTTGCGATTTGGGACTCAAACATCAAGTAAAGATTTTGCAACTACCGATTCCTAGACATTATATATCACTCGCTAAGTCAAATGTGCCATATTAATCTCTCTGAATCAAACGTGTTGAAAAAAAAAATGCTTTGTAATGTAAAACAAAAAGTGATCTACTTTTCCTTACATGGTAAATTGTGATGAACATCTTGAATACACGTACAAATTTCCTGTAAGTACACTGCCTAGGTGTGTAACGACTTTTATGCATATCGAGATTTATACAAGCTGCCTAAATTCATGGAAATAAAATGACAAGAATTACACGAGAACTATAATTCACAAAGACTAAAGTGAAAAACACTAAAGGAATTGTGTGTGATATTATAAGATGATTTATATAAGGTTAAAAATAACAGTTCTACGATATAGTTGTGTTTTATAGTTTTGACAAAATGCTCATAGGATAATCGTGGCTAAAATAGAGATGGGGTCCTGCTAAAATAAATAAAACACTCACCCAACTAAGATAAATTAAGAAAGTGATCGTGACACGTTTTTCAAGTACCTTAGGCTATCAAATATGAATATTTGGGAATGCTTTTAGAAAATTATTGCTTAATTTCATGTAAATATTGTTTGTTTTGGTGAAATTCGATGTTCGACGAGTTTTTGGAGGAAATGAAAGAGATGTGGGTAAAAAAGGCATGTTTTGTGCATAATTTAGAGCATGGGGACCACCTTAATACAATTTGGAATATTAAGGACTTGGATTACAATTACAAGGGACCTGAGATGACTAAAGGTATCAAATCCTGGACCAAGTTGCATAAGGGTAAAAGTTGCACTCATTGAGTTGGGCCTTCTTTTATGAAACCTCCCGAAAATGCAGATGGAAAAAGTTTGTTCGAGCATTGTTTTCTTTGAGATGCGAAGAAGGCTAAGGAGGGATTCAAGGCAGTAAACATCAAAAGTTTGAAGAATCAAAGCATAAAATTGAAAATTAAAAAGCAAGGTATAATCCGGAATCAACTGAAGGTTCACTTGAAGGAATTCAAGGAAACTGGAATTAATTCTTTCTTCTCTTTACAAATACATTTTCTGGGTGATGAATATTCAAATCTTTTGTTGCAATTTCATCAGTAACGTGCTAGGCTAATCTTGTTAAAGTGTTGGTACGATGATGTAAATCATTGTTTTACTATTTTAATTCAAAGACCATTTCTTTTAGTATGAATAGTGTGATTAATTGATGCCCCCGGGGCACATCCAAGTTGGCAAAGGATGGGGCACTGCTAGTGGTGGCAACGAGCCGAGCCGAGCCGAGCCGAGCCGAGCTCGGGCCGGGAAAAAAAAGTTCCGGCCGAGCCCGAGCTTTTTTGG